ACTATATACTATACTGTACTATACTGTACTATACTGTACTATACTTTACTATGCTATACGATACTAGACTATACTTCACTATACTCTACTATACGATACTATACTATACGATACGATACGATACTATACTATACTACACTATAACATACTAGACTAGATTATACTATACTTTACTATACTATACTATACTATACTATACTATACTATACTATGATGCACTATAACATGCTGTACGTTCTGCTTTCCCGCGCAGGAGGCCGTAGAACTGAACCGTATTTTGGCAGAGTCTGGAAGCCCGGAGCTCAGCTGCAACTCTTGAAGGGTTTAAGGGTTTAGGGTGAAGGGTTTAGGGTTTGGGGTGTGTTTAGGGTTTCTGGGTTTCGGGGTTTTGGGTTTAGTTAGGGTTTAGGGTTTCTTGCGGTTAGGGCTTACCTGGACCCCAGAAGTATGTAGAATAGCCTTTTTTAGGTATTTGGCCATGGTTCTCTACTTTTAGGGGGGGTTTAGGTACAGGTTAGGATTCCCGACAGGAGTGATGTGGTCCGCTGTTGGTTCACCTTGGATCGAGGGCTCTGCTCCGAGGGCAGTACGATTGACATGTTCGGACATGCTCCAGTGCGATTGCATGCGAACACCATTCAATATCATTGAACATCCCACTTGCTCCTGAGACACCAGGAACTCGGCTGGGGCGGAGGGGGGGGGGGGCGGGGCGGGGAGCTGCGGCAGTGTCGGCGGCTCTGTGGTGTTGGGCTCTGCTTCTTGGAGAGCGGGTTTAGGTTCATCGGTTTAGGGTTTAGGTTCATGAGTGTCGAGCCAAGCACAGGGCCTGCATCCAACTTTTTCATGGCCTACCGGTAGAGTCATCTAGAGTTTATAGACACAGTACGACGACCAACCAGGCATCGACGTGGATGCATTGCACGAGCGCGCGTTTGAGCACCTGGCACAGCGCGGGATGCTGCTTGGATGTGCAATTGCAATAAGCAATCCGACTAACTCATATTAACGTACTACAACACTGTTTACTATACTGTAATATGATAATTAATTACACATCAGACTACACTATACTGTGCTATGCTATACTATACTATACTATACTGTACTATCATACCATACTATGCTATACTATACTATATGATACTATACAATATATTACATTGTATTATACTATGCTAAACTATACTGTGCTATACCATACTAGTCTATACTATACTACACTAGACTTTTCTAGATTAAAGTGCATTCTAGGAGCAGCGAGATCAGCGCCTTGAAGCCAAGGTCCAAAGAGCTTTTCACTCAGCTGGCATGGAGCTCAGCTTGTCCGTTGCTGTCCGCAGCATCGCAAGATCGAACGTGTCGAGGTGAAGCGTGGTGGGACCAACATCCAGCAGCTCCACACCATTGCCGATCCATGGGAGCCGCCTGGGCCCCAGAAGGCTACGATTGGCTGCGATGTGCGTGGCTTCTACTCGTACAAGCTCGTATAAGCATTTGAGAGCTTCGTGAGCTGAGGAGCGAGGTCCTAGACAGCCCCGCGCTGCTGGTGCTGGCGCCCGACTCGATGGAGCCACTGCCCCAAAACTGTGTCCTGGTCATTCCTGGTCCTTGCTGGGATAGCAAAGCGCATCGTGCACGGCCGCTGCACTGAGGTTTGCCACCGCCCGCGAGATCAACGAGAAGTTCTGCACCCAAATGGAGGCCGGCCCTTGCCGTCGCCATCTTCTTCCGCCGTGCTACTAAACTCCGCAAACGCCACTGTCCGCGGTGGTACCGAGGTTGTGCATGGAAAAGGAAGCCACTACAACATGATGCAGGCAAGGGCGGACCTGGACATGTAAATCATCTACAGGTTTTTGCTGCTATACATGAGAAGCTTCGGATTGTGTACCGCCGTTGTAGTATCTCCAGCCAAGTCTTGGATGGTTGATGTTGTCTAGACAGACGGCTAAGCATAGCGTTGAAGCGGAAGTGGGTGCGAGCATAGGTGTGCCACATGCCGGCATGAAAGCAGAGACGCCTGCTAATGTTGCCAGGAAGCCAGTAGAGTGTGTCTAACATGGTTTGTTTTTGTTGGTGTGTATGCAAGTAAGTATGTATGTATCTATGCAATGTGCTGTATGTATGTATGTATGTATGTATGCATGTATGTATGTATGCAAGTCAAGTAAGTATGTAGGTGTGTATGCATGTCTGTATGTATGTATGTATGTATGTATGTACGTATGTATGTCCGCATGTATGTCCATATGTATGCCTGTACGTATCTGCATAGCCGTATGCATGCATGCACGCCTGTATGTGCGTATGCAATGCATGGATGTAATTGATATCTGCCGCATTTTCGTACCGATGTATCTGTGTGTATATGTGCTACTGTATTTTATGATCTGATGTGTATCTTTATGTGTCTTAAATAAATAAACATATACATATATATATATATATATATTTTATATTTATATTTATAATTGTAATTATACTTTATTTATATTTATATTTATATTTGCATTGACACACACACACACACATTTTTCATTTACACCGCCGCAATCACGCCTCAAATGGTTTCTTCCGTCAGGGCGAGCAAGCCGTGGTCCAAGCACGCCGCGTGCACGACTTTTGGCGCAGGCTGCTGCATGGGGTAGGGGTGGTAGGGTCCTAAGCCCTAAACCCTAAAGGGTTTAGGGTTTAGGGTTGGGACCGGTTGCCTCATCAGGAGGTAGGATAGAAACTGCAGGCCACAACTGCACACCCCAAGCACCCGAAAGCCGGAGCCCAACGCCGTAAACCCAAAAGCTTCGTTGTCAAAAACTAGAGAGCCTCAGACTCCGAGCCTTGAGGCCTAAGCCTAGAGCCCTAAAGCTCTGAACTCGCAAAGCCCCTTTCCCTAAACTCAGAAAGAATCCAAATGCGTGAGACTGAGCTCCGGCCCCCCTAGTCCCGAATCACCTAAACCATCATAAACTATAATGTAGCTATCCTTAGCCCTTTAATATGATCCCTAATATAGACTGTTACAGGGTCCTAAACCCCAAACCCTATAAACCCTAAACCCTGAAAGCCTAAACCCAATGCCTTGCAGAGGTTATCTGCACCTGTTCCTGCTAGTCTGGGCCCATCCGTCGAAGGCAGGGTTATGGTTTGGGGTTAAAGGCGAGATGCTGCCATGTCGCACATGTATGGGTTAAGGAGGGGGCATGTAGGTAGTTTTATTCATGATCTATAGGGTTTGTAGAAGGACAACTTAGTCGAACTATCCAAGTTGTGCCCCTATCCTGCTTTTCACGTGGTGATGACCTATATTACCTAGGAAATGAGATGATGAAAGCTGATACGGACAGAGGAATAGCTATAGCTCTCTACAGAGGTTCCTACAAAAGGGTATCTACGGTTTAGGGTTTGGAGTTCTAGGGATTATGGCGAGCTCGGGTTCTGGCATACGGTCTCGTGTTTAAGGGTAGTTCCCTAACCTAGTGTCCCATAGTAGATCCTGAACAGGGGCAGACCCCCCAAGAGGACCTGCAATTTAGGCTACGGGGTTGAGGGCCTACAGATGGCCAAGAGCAATCAAAAAGGACACATAAAAAGACGCTGGATGGGTGAGCGATAGCAACTGACGAGTGGACTACGGACAAACGGTCTATGTGTTTAATGGCTGGTGGTCCATGTTCAATGAAGAGAAATCCTTGCTGACAAAACAGAAAATGATTCGACAAACAAGTTGCAAAAAGCAAGTGGACAGATGCAACAGCCATGACACATGGATGCGTGAGCAAGCGTACGTCCGAGTGGTTGAGCACGGGTAGACCGGGCAGACGCATACATTCGATGTATTCGTACATGTACAAAGGTATACGTGCCAGATACACGTCTCGCGCATGTGCGTGTTGGGTCACTGAAGGGTATAATGCGGGCACACGTCTACCTCAACATGCCCCATGTGATGTAGGGGCCGGACGAATTCATGATAGTCCCCCGGTATAATTCCGTACTGTAACTATAGCATCATTCCTTAATGTAACTATAGTATAACTCCTTAAATTAATGTAATCTACCAAGTATAATATACCCCTCAAGCCGGGCCCCAGGCCCTATTCTAACGATGAGCTCCCCTGTGTTAGACACGAGCCCTTAAAGGAGCGCCATAGAACCAGTCAGGGCCCCGATAAAGTGTGTGCCACGATTCCTAAAAAAGCCAAACCCCTAACCCTCAGACCCCTAAACCCAAAACCCCAAAACCTCAGACCCCTAAACCCCCAAACCCCCCAAAACCCCCCAAAACCCCCAAAGAGGCCTTTGCCCTCTGACCCGGGGCAGCGGCCACGTGCTGTACTACGTGCCCCGGTCCTCAGCCTGTCGGGGATTCTTTAAGGGGACCCTTTAAAGGGACTCTTGAAGGGATCCTTTAAAGGGGCCCTTCAACTTAAGGGATCTTTCAGGGTTTCGGGTTTAGGGTTTAGGGGTTTAGGGGTCTGATTCTTGAAGGGATTCTTGAAGGGACTCTTTAAGGGACCCATTCAAGAGACCCTTTAAGGGAACCTTCAAGGGACCCTTTAAGGGACCCTTTAAGGGACCCTTTCAAGGGACCCATTTAAGGGACCCTTCAAGGGACACTTTCAAGGGACCCTTTCAAGGGATCCTTCAGCTTAAGGGGTCTTTGAGGGTTTCGGGGTTAGGGGTTTAGGGTTTAGGGTTTAGGGACCCTTTGATTTAAGGGATCTTTGAGGGTTTCGGGTTTAGGGCTTGGGAGTTTAGGGACCCTATTAAATTTAAGGGATCTTTGAGGGTTTCGGGTATAGGTCTTGGGAGTTTGGGGTGTTTGGAAAGGGGGGGTTCGGGGTTTCGGGTCAAGGGAATAGATCATCTAGTCAGGGTCTAGACCTTGGGGTTTAGGACTTAGGATGCAGGGGTTTAGGATTGGAAGAATTTCGGGTGAAGTTAGGGTTTAGGATGGTTTAGGTTTTTAGGGGTTTAGGGGTTAAGGTTTTTTGGACAAAAAGCGATACTGCTAATATGTATCGCGTGCAGTTCCATTCGTCGCATTGCCAGAAGAAGTCCTCCACCGTAAACCCGTAATTGACCCAGAAGCCTGAAGCGTGAACCCTTAAACGCAAAATCCTGAAACTGAATTCCCCAAAATATGTTGCCCGAAACCCTAAACCCTAAAGCCTAAAGCCTCATGTCGTAACCTCTAGAACACCGTGAAGCCCCAACTCGAACGCACCAACATCCGAAGCCCTAAGAATCCAAAGCCTACGATGCCAACATGCAAACCTGCTGAAGCCCTTACAGTAGAAGCCAGAAAGTCAGAAGATCATGATCCTCATGCCCTTAAGGTAAAGCATAGGGGGAATCCCAGCACCCATCATCCTAAATCCATGTTCCGACTTTCTGGGCTCCAGTATACCCATAGACTCCATAGTAGTTCCTTTTTGGGAATTTAGGGTTTAGGGTTTATAAGGTTTAGTTTTGGGTTTAGGGCGATAGACTCCTTTTTGGGGATTATCTTATACAGGATCCTGAATACAAACCACAAAAAGGAACGACTCTGGAGCCTATGGGTATAGACTGCCTGCAGCACCCTGAAAGCACCCGCTCTCCAAAATCCAAGAAGCGAGATCCCAGACCCTTCAAGCGCCACATCCTACCTATATTCTCCATTGTAGTTCCTTTTCGGGGCTACCTTTTAGGATCCTTAATATAGATTTGGTCACACCAAAAAATGGAACTACAATGGAGACTATAGGTAGACCCGAAACCCCGGAACTCTATAAACTGTCCAAGAAATTCACGTGTGGATAACATAGCTATAACGTTGTTATCCCTAGCCCTTCAATACGACCCCTAACATAGACTGTTACAGGGTCCTAACCCTAAACCCCAAGCCCAAGGCCTTAAACCCTACACATGAAACTCTAAACCCTAGACCGTAAACCTTATACCCTTAGCATGAAACTCTAAAACCCCTTAATCCCAAACCATAAACCTTAAACCCTAAACCCTAAAACCTTAAACCCTACCCAACCGGGTTGAGACGCTTAGCACTCGCTCTGCAGTCATCAAAAGGCCTTCAAAAAAAACCTTAAACCCTAAACCCTAAAACCTTAAACTTAATTAAACTCTAAGTGAAGGCACGGCTTGGATGGCGATGCCTTCGGACCGGGGGTGACCCTCGGGGAGCTGCCCTACAGGCTGCCGGGAGCACGGAGCGGAGGCGTTTCATGGGATTTGCGTAGTTTAACATTACATGTTATATGTTTTGAGTTATATATTATATATTATGGATCATGTGTTAATGTATTGTATATACTGTATATCGTATATGATATATCATATGTTGCATATTATAATTTATGTTGTCTTTAGGGTTTTAGGATCTATCAGGTTTAAGGCTTCGGCTTTGCGACTTAGACTTGAGGGGTTTTAGGATTCAGGGTTTGGGCTTAGGGTAAAGGATCAAGAAACAGAGCCTGGCTGACCCCTAAAACCGGATCCTAGTGTGTTCAGATGCCTCTTGCCCTCTGGGGATAGTGGCAGCCTGTGCTTTAGACCACCAGAACTCCGTAGATTTTCTGAGGTCGTGCAGCGTATGCGCGCTGGAGTACGACGACGAGGTGGGGATGCACGCATGGGGGGCTTTGGGGTTTAGGGTTTAGCCTGCGTCGATGCCGATTTTTGTTTTTGGATCTCGGTTGAGATGTTTCTAAATCAGGGGCTCCTGTATTTACGGGCTTGAGACGGGGTCAGAAGGGTGTTTATAATTAGGGTTTGAAGTTCGGCAAATGTTTGCTTACGGATGTGAAACTTGTGTTGC